CGCACATTTAACTTACTCTTCAGGATAGAAACAGTGAATCATATTATGCAATAAACTTTTTATGAGAAATTTACATTTATGCTAATAATTATTTCAATAACAATTAAATACCAAGTACAAGTGTAATAAAATAACAGAATAATTGTACAATATAGAATACTTACTAGAAATTTGCATCTATCCACATTTTATATTTTATTTAGTTTTAGTATAAAAAGTTAGAAATAAAGTAATATTTTTGAGGATTTATTTAGTTATTTCACAAATCTGATGAACTATTTACTGTGAAACTTTTCAAAGCAAGTAGGACCATTTGCTTGAAGGCACAGTGATACGCACAGAAAAGTTATAATGAAAGATTTTAGAACCCAAGAACCTCGTACCACATTGTAAACAAAGTTTTTTTATATTTCCCACCCCCAACATTCTCGCATAATTCTAAACGCTCTCTCTCGAGTGGAGGAAGAGTGAAAATTTCAAGGTCATTTTTCTGTTCTATGTGGGCAGTGAATAGAGCCTCTATCGACATATAAAAACTTTCCAAAAACCTAAATAAAACCTTTTATTAATTACACATTTGCTTAATTCATTTAGATGAGAGAAAAGTACACACTTAAAAACTTGTCGAAATTTTTTTCACAGATCAGAAATTTTGTTTATAGTAATCAAAATACAATTTGTAGATTTACACTGAGAAAAACTGTTTCTAACTACCCATCAGAGGACATGAAATCCACAAAAGGTACCGTGCTGCCATCTGTATTTATTTTTATACGTTTTAGCTTCAGTTAATAAATGTGGATAGACTAAATTTCCACCGCCCGCTTGGAGAAAATTTTTTGTTATATGGCTAGACCTATTAGCCACTGCCTACAAAAGGGTTAAGTAACTAGAAGACAAGTAGCAAAGTAATAGATAATAAAAAGTTAAACAATAATAAACAAGATTACAAATAATAACATATGTATTAGGAAATGGATGAAATTAGGATGTTGATAAAGAATAAAAGGTTTGTTATAAAAAGGTAGTAACAAATTAACCTTTTGGCTTACAATCTTTTCCTAGCTTTAGCAAAAGTTTCAATATCTTTGGTAAAATCCAGGTTTGATGCGACTTTATTTTCAATTGCTGTTAGCGATAAATGTAGAATCCCACAATGTTTCTTAAATTATTTTTAATTTGCTAAATAATGTTTTTGTGGCTGCAGAAGTGACAGGAATTGTATAGAATAATAACATTGCTGTAAATACTTCTGTTTGGAATTGCATTCTTGCACTTCATATTTGCTCATTATTTCCTTACATAATTGTTGAAGGGAAAAGTTGGAACCTATTATATCAGAATACTTATTTTGGAATTTGTCACACTTTTGTAACAAAGATGTTTCTTCTACATGTAGTAAAAATGTTGGTCTTGGAAAGTTTATTTTACAAACTGCATTCACACTAGTAAAACATGTATTTAATTGAGCTGATATATTGTCTAGTGCCTTATTAAAGTAGTAATTTTAAATATTTCTTTCTGGTTTTAGAAACTAATTCATCACAATTTTTTTTAAACTTTCCTTTGCCTTTTTTCTTGAAAATGAGGATCTATACCATATCTTCTTGGAGTTTCATTTGCTTTGCACTTGAATGATTCAAAGTTGTTTCTGTAGGTTTGCATTGTCACAACAGCAGTATTTTTAATTGTAATAACTATTGAATTTCCTTCAATAGGCTTCTCAAGCAACACTGTAGTTACCACATTATCTAAGCTATCGTTAACAGAAATGCTTGGATCATAAGTACTCGTAGATGTCTGACTAAGAAATTTGTCAATTTTAGGTAATTTTTGTTCACTATCTTCTCTTTCTTGGTGTTATTTGCACTTAAATGCACCACTAGTTTTTTTTATCTATAATTTTAGTTTTCTAATTTATGCAATACAATTCATATGTGCTTGAGTAATTACTGGCGTTAAAACAAAGGAAACAAAATGCTACGCTACAAAACGTCGTTGGGGAATCCTTGATTATTTATTTATTAGGATTGAACTCAACCACCAGAGGGTTTAGAGCTACAAAATGGTTCATCAAGATAGACAGGAAATGATACAAAAAATATGCATGAACAAGAACTAACAATATATTATAATTACTTATAAAAAAGCAACTTAAAAATAGTAGAGGGAGGGGGGATAAAATTACATCAGTCTCTATTGCAAATATGAGTAGATTGTAAAATATTGAAACAGGAAACTAATTTATTATGAATCATTGTAATTAAAAATAGAATGTAATCTGGTAGGAATCTCTTCCTGTGTAGGCTTTTTAAGATGCAATGTAAGATTTTTCATGTAACTTGAAGTTTATATTCGAGTAACAGTTTAAAGAAAATTGAAAGTGATATAAACTTATCAATAATTTAAGTCTTGCAACTCTATCCAAACAACGGAAAGAATTCCCTACAAGTTTGAAATTACTTTCAACTGAGTTTCCATGTTTGTAGTTGTATTGCAACCTTTTACATTTATATTTTAAATGTGGGAAAAATTTTGGAAGTTCGACTTGCTTGGTGGTCAGGGTCTGAGGCCCCCTCAGCTTCAAGGCCCTGGTGCATGGCACTGCCTAGCCCATTAGTAGCTACACAAAGTATGGCAAGTAAATTAAGATAACTCGTAGTTAGCAATAATTGGAGGAACGAGTTATTTCGTAGTTAGCAGTCTACATGCTAAAAAAAGACAAGCTACCACCTGAATAATGTAGGTGTTAGATATGTATTATTTCCTTCATTTAACATTATTTTTGGTAAAAATAATACATTTTAAGCAATTTAAATTTAGTTACTTATATAAATGAACATTGGCATAAATTCTTCCAAGTCTTCTCCAATTTATTGGTTGATATTTTTTTGTGTAAAACTAATGGAACTTATCAAATTAAATGCAATTTGAATTTAGTTATTTGTGCAAATAAACTTTAGTGCATTTTTTTGCCAATTTATTATACGATAGGCTAATGCATAAGTTCCATTTTTTTCCCTTTGAAATTTTTCCTCTATTTCACATTTGTTTACATTTGACAGTAGTATAAGGTACACCCCCGCATCACAGGGAAGTCAGGATGCTTGGGGGCTCAAAGCCTGACTGATACCAAGTATGGCTTGGGCCCTAAACCTGACTTTGCTACGGTTTATTAGGTTAAGGACTTTTGCTAAGGTTGACGCCCTAATATTCTCCATCATGTCATTAGTAAGACAAAGTATTGATATGCTTACATAAACATTCCATTCTTGTTTAATTAGTTAAATTGTGTATTTCTTTGTTTTTTTGTTGCAACATATTATATATACCTCACAAATGTCTTGTCTGTTAGAGATTATTTGAATATATATTGTTTGAGATTTAAAGCTTTTATATTTTCATTGCTGTAAAATCTGATGTATAATGCGCACCTATACTTTCAAGCAGCATTTTTTAGATTTTAGTTATATTCAATGTATAACATGCTCCTTTTTTATGAAGGAAACCTGAATTGTTTGTACAAATGCTATGCTCTTATATTTCGAAGTCATTTATTCGAGGTATTATCCCAGACTTTTGAAAGAATAGTACATTCTAAAACAGGGGTCAATAACCTTTTAGCTGTGGCGTGCCAAACCAATCTACCCATATGATTCAGCGTGCCACACAGTAGGACATATTTGAAACAATTTGATTCCCATGTTAATATGCAGAGTTAGAGAAAAGAGCTCAATAATAAAAATTTACATTTTTATTTATGTATTAATTTTGCATTTTTTAAAGATATTTGTTAACAAAAAATAAACAACATAAAATACTATTCCTTCACAACCTAAATAAAAAATTAAAATTGTACATATATTATGTATCCTTTAAATATATTTATTATATAAAATAAAAAATAAGCAGCTTATAATATAAGTATTCCTCTTCAATATTGTCAAATAAAAAAGTGAACGTTTTAATGCAAACCTTGTCTTTTCAATGCTCTACTTCATTTTGCAATATCAAGAGTAAGCATATAACAAGATTCTAAACATTCAGTTGTTAAACAGCTTCTTTGCGAACTCAAAATATTTTTCATATGAGAAAAGATTTGTTCAAAAAGATATGTAGAATCAAAAGCAAAGTACATACAATTTTCTCTCTTCGAACAATGAAATCTCTCCAACAGCAACATTCAATAATTTACAAAATAACTGTAGATTTACCTTTCAGTTTTTTTTCATAATTCTGTAAATGTCCATAATTCTGAAGATGTTTGTCAAATAGACTCCATTACAAATTTATCAACTTCCATCCACTTAAAAATTGTCAAATTTGTAGAGTGCCACTGAAAATTGTACTGTGTGCCAAATATGGCATGTGTGTCATAGGTTGCCGACCCCTATTCTAAAACTACAAGCCTTTAAGTTCATTAGGTATGTTATTTGTTTTAAATAAACAGTATTCTGATCTATGTAGAAGTCTAATTTTTTTAATGCTTATCTTTTGTTTATTTTTGATGCTATCATTTTGATGCCTGGCATATAACCAGCACACCCGTAAATTTCAATCTTATTTTTTGAGTTAAAAGTGCATGTTATACACCAATTTTTGATGTAATTTTTTTGTGGGTATTACTGTTGGTTTAAAAGTTATTTAAAATTTCTCTGAAGAAATAGCAACAGCAAATAAGATAATTAAAAAAAATGCAAAAGTTATTAATTTTTAGATATTTTGCTATTTTTCAATTCCTACTGTTAGTTCACACTCTCCTTATATATACATATATATATCTTGTTCAAATTTTCAATCATTAATAAAATACTTTTTATTCATCCACTCAAGTTTAAATAAATTTTTTTAAACTTGTAGGGGATGTGACACTTGATGTTAATACAGCTTTTTCAAATATTAACTTGTTAATTCATTAATTCTATTTAATTAATGAATAAATACTAACAAACAAAAATAATAGTCCTACACCATATATAAAAAGGAAAATCGTTCATTGTGTCCCTGTAATGCAATGCATAACATATTGGAATTCTAATCCAAAGGTTGTGGGTTTGAATCCCACCTGGGATTGCCTAATTTCTGAGAATGTGATTTCTTTTTACTATGCTATTTTATTGGAATAATTAAATTTAATTAATGAATAAATAGTAACAAACAAAAATAATAGTCCAACACCATATATAGAAAGGAAAATTGCAAGGAAAACCACTTTCTATTTTGCCACTGAATATTGCGAGTCTTTCATATGTATGTACACATATTTATATTAATTGTAGTTATTTAATAAAAGTAACTAAACTAAAATTTTTCTTTTTTGACCTATGTAGGAATTGACTTAATTTTTTTTAATATTACTTGTTAAATATTTAAACATTTACTGATATTTTGTAAAGTTTCAAATTTGTTTTAACTTCTTTAATTCCTCATGTTTCTAAATTTAAATTATACATTATTATAAAAGAAATTATATTTAATTTCTGTAATTCATTATTTTATGTATAGAAACCTTATAATAATTTTTATGAGTAATTTCATTTTCTTATACATAATGTTTTAGTTGGTTGCTGTAAAGCTTTATCCTTGATATATCTTTTAATTAAAACGTTTTTCTTGATGTATCCCAGATCATGAATAAAAGTTCTATTATGATCTAAAATTACTCTTGTCTTTTAAAGGTGATTTCTGAAAATGTTTCTATTCAGCTTTTCTGTGCTGAAAGCTCGCATCATGTTTAAGCATTTTGTATATGAGAATACAACTGATTAATTTGTTATTTCACATATAATTTATAATTGAAATGTCTTGAAATAAAATTGGCCATTTTAGCTAAAGTTTTTCTGTTTTTTTAAAACATTTTTTTTTAAAAAAATTGAATTGTTGACCAGACACTTGTTTTAGTGTGACCAATTTCTTTTACTTTAAGGAAATTTCTGAAGCCTTTCAAAACTATTAAAAATTTTCATTGATAAGTTACTTCATGTAAATTTATATCTATTGTCTTTTGTTGATTATATGAGGACACACACTTATTTATACTTTGCCGTTTTGAAAATCATAAACATTTTGTATTGTGTTTTCTAATAAAAAAAATAGCATGTGTGGTGACAAGTTTCACGATTCCTATGAATATCAAATGTTTGGATAAAATTTGGTTCTATTTTTCCATTATTTTAGAAACAAGTATGTCAAACTTTTATTGGAGGTTATGTTTTGTTTGAAGAATCTGAGAATATTAAATAATCATATAGAGATGTATTCTTTTGATTAGCTTGTGATGCAACGATCAATGGTGTCATGCAATTTTAAGCTGATTAATTTAGAACTAATTACAGTGATAATTAGTATAAATATATAAAAAAAATTCTATCTGGAGTTCTGTACAAGATGGTATTAAGCATAATTTAATGCTGTATTAAAATAAATCATTCTTAATTTTATGATAGAGTATAATTTGTTTTTAATTGATAAACTAAGTTTAGTAATTATAGTAAAAATACTTTAAAAATACTGTAGTTTATATTAGTTCTTGTGATAAATTTGATGTATGCATTATAGTGTGAATCTGAATGAATATTTTAAATTAGGTTTGAAAAAAGTGTGTATCTTTTAAATGTATTTGAGATTGAAAATTTTAGTAGTTTAAAATAAAATGTCTTCTATTAAAAAACCATTATTATTTGTTCTGTATAATTAAAGAATTAAAAAAATAATAAATTTGATTTTCAATATTTTGTAAGGGAAATAACTCTAAAAAAATTGCTTAAAAATCCAAAAAAATATCTCACTACTACAAAATATGTTGCTTATGCTCTTGGAAAATATTGAGCAAGCTACATTAATATTTGATTGCTTCTAATTACACATTTCATTCTTTATAGAGTACTTAATTGAGAATACTTATTTTATAGAGCTTAAAAAGTTCCCTTTTCCCAGTGTTCTAATGTGAGATATTGCTTGTTACATTTTAAGAAAGAAATGTTGGTATAACTTTGCTTAAATGTACACTATACTTGAAAATGAAAGAAATTATTCTAACACTAGACTAATTTGGATGGGTTCGAGTCCTGGTACCACTGAAGACCTGGTGTGTAGAGGGCAGATGATATACTTTAAATCTGTCATGCTCAAAGTCCTCCCTTGGTGTGGTAGTTTGGAATGGGGATAGCACCTCAGGTATTGTCTTTGTCACTCAACTAAAGCTCAAAATTATCAAGTCCATTACCAATAGCCCTCCTATTACTTTATAGTGCAACATTAATATAACTCTCACTGTCAGACTAATTTGGAGTGGCCGCGGTAGCCGAGTGGTCAAGATATCGGATCGTGGCTGGTCTTGTCACGAGTTCGAGCCCAGTACCACTGAAGTTCTGCTGTGTAAGGGAGCGATGCACGTTAAATCTGTCGAGAGCTCAAACGTCCTCATGTTGGTGTGGTAGTTAGGAGGGGGGTGGAGGTGTCAGGTCAGGTGTTGTCCACGTCACTTGACCATGGTTCAAAATTACGTGGTCCGTCGCCAAAAGCCCTCATTTAGCTAAACAGTGTGACGTTAGTATTCACTCACTCACGCGGACTAATTTGGAGGCCTAATTGTTCCTTATCCCATCCTCATTAAAAAATTTTTTTTATAAACTATTTAAAATAAAAAATTAGGAATCACTTATTTAAATTAGATAAATGGATGTAATTTAGTTTTATAGATTTGATGCTACTAGGGGTTAATTTTTTAGCTACTGATTATAAAAAGAGAACCAAATTGTTAACCAGTCATTATTATTATCAATGAAGGAATAAACTGTAAGTATATTTTTAATTACAATTACATATTGAAGATTCATTTTTAAATACAAGTATAACTTTCATTTGGGCTCTTTTCTGTTAGCCATGTATAAATAATAAATCACCAAATGTTGCTTCCTGTTGCAGATGAAATAATTAGTTATTATTTTGCATGTTTTGTGTGTTGTATCTAAAAATGTCTGCTTAATGAGATTTGAATTCAACTAACCAAACAGTGCTCTATTATTTTTTCAACCACTTTTTGAATTGAAAAAAGGCTAATTTTTTATTGCAAGGTTATATAATATAGAACTTGACTTTAAATTAGTCCCTATATAAATCAGTTTCATGCTATAAATTCAGAGTTTTAAGCAAAATTTTGAAAACATATGTGGAACAAAAAAAGTTAATGAAAACTTTCTCCAAATTGAACTTTGAGATTACATGTTACTAAAAATTATTTGTTGAAAAATCTGTGGTTTTAAAAAAATGTCATTTATTTCCCCCCCTAATTACTCCTTTCCTTAAGAATTATAAGGATGATTTTTTCTTATCGAAAATAAGATTCATATTAGAATTGCTGGTACCATATATCAAATTCACATTAAAATTTTTCTTTCTAAATGTAACATAAATTATTTGCAATGTTGTTCCAATGTCTTTTTTTTATGTATAATAATTCCTTATGTAATTTAAATGCATTAAAAAAGGTAAATCTTCAGTTTCCTTATTGTTCTTTTCCCCCACTGAGTAAATTTTTTTAATTTTCCAAGGGCAAAATTTAATTTGTAAAATATTTAAAGTGTTATAAATATGTAAATATTAAAATTTTTTACATTTGAATAGATTTAGATAGTTTTGATATTTATAGAATCAGATGAAATTTAATATTTCTTGCAATTATTTCATAAAAGGAAAATTTTTTAATGTGAACTAATTATTTTTTTCTGCTTCTATGATCAACAAAATTCAGTAATTTTAAAAATTTAATTATATTGGTAAAATATTTTCATCATAGAAGCACCAGTTCTCTTAGTATACTGTTCAGTTGAACTTAATGAAATTTCCTAACCACTAAAAATTAGTTGTTGTCTTGTCCTTCCTGTAGGGAAGGAAAGAAAGTTACCAGAGCCTGAGGCAGGTTGGACTTCTAGATGTACGCCTGTTGTTGGCCGTAGTCTTGAACACCATACAGGTGACAGTACGATTTAGCTCGGTTCCACCTCAATTTAAGGAAAGAACACCCTGGAGTAGTCAGAGGCCTCCCACTTCTCTTCCCTTTCCACCAACCTCACAAGAGGATTTACAGTTGGATGGCTATTTAGAGTCCCCCCACCCATGGTGCAAAAGCACTATACATTTACAAACATTCATATCTTCTCTGGGATTCGAACCTTGGCCCTACAGCTCAGCAGTCAGTGTCGCTAACCACTATACTGGATGGGCGACACTAAAAATCAGTTAAATAGAAATACGAAAGATTGCTTAAGTACTACAGAACAAGAATGATTTTTTTTTAATGAAATACTGTTTCTCTGGACCATCTATCAAAAGCTCAAGATACAAATTTTTTCTCATAAGTTTGGCTTTCCTCACTTTGAGTTGTATCGTGTATTTTGAATTGTAATCATATAAAGGGTATTTAAAGTAATTTTTCTGCTTTTGAAACTGAAATTCTGAAATTAGGATATTTTTTCCTGTTGGGAAAAAAAACAACTCATATTCATGACTTTTTATTGTATGCTGTACTTTAATATGGTCATGAGAATAAAGGGTGATTTTTTTCTTTTTTTGAAATCTTATTGCCGAAATCTTGAAAAAATTGATTATTTTTTACTGATTCCTTTTTTTGATTTTTCTTTTTATGAATATTGGTTTCAATTTTAATTTTGAGTTATTCGATTCATTTGTAAATTAAAACTGGCTTTTTTATTTCAGGAAAATGAAGTTGTTTTTAATATATTGCATCACTTTTAGTCTCAGTAGGATTGTTTCCTTGCAAGAGGAAACTGTTAAAACCGAAAATAAAATGGACATTAAATCACCCACAAAAAAACAAGAAACTTTACCTCCATGCCAAGCATGTCGGATGCTTGCCAATTCTTTTAAAAAGGTAAAATTAATTTTACTGTGATAATTTTTTTGCTCATGTAAAACACAAATTGATTTGCATTTAATTGGTGTTAATTATGTTTCATATAATAGAAGAATACAATATAAAAGTAGAAATACTTTGTACAACATCTGTTAACAAACTGCTTCTCTAGCCCAGGGGTGGTCAACACGTGCCTCAG